CATATATATTGTTTGGTTTGCTGATCTAGAGAGACAGACTTCTTGTGTGAGCATGATGCACTTCTTTGGTGTATTGCTCCCTGACAAAATTTATTGTTATTCCTTTTCTTTGTGTGTGTTGTCATGTTTGCTACCCACAACTGCTCAAGAAAAGCATGGCTGTGCAAGACACCGTTTCTTTCACCAACTCATCAGGAGGTTGAACCCTCTGTGTGTGTGTGTGTGTGTGTGTGTGTGTGTGTGTGTGTGTGATTCTTTTGCCAATGTGTGTGTTAGTTCAACTTATTTGCTTAGGAATTGTTTTTGGCGGACTGCAGAACAAATCGGAATTTGTGGCACATCTGTTGTGGCCAATTTTTATACTTCAAAAAAGTCGAAAAAACTAGCCTATAATTCTTCTCTCAGGCATCCCGTACACTACCTACCCTCATCTACAAAGCAGAGCCACATCCACGTCTACCAAGCAGGGCTACCTGAACTTAACCCCCAGCTAGGACTGGCAGGGGTGCAGGCCTCCGGGAGAACCCAGGACCCTACCAAGACCAACAAGGGAGAGCAAGCCAACTATCTCGGCCGGCGAACGCCAAACACGCCTGCAGACGGACCGTGGGGAATTGAACCCTAGCTCAGTTGGTTTCGCACGATGTGCCCATTTTTTATTATCGTGCAGATCAGGATTTGAAGTCCTGCTGTGTTTCTCAATATTGACATGTGTGTAGCAGCATTCACTCAGCCCTTGTGCATGGATGTAGAGAGTGTCCCCTCCTCCCCCCCTCCTCTCCCTCCTCTTGCACTCTTTTTCTTTTTCTCTGTTTTGTAGTTTGTTCCAGATTTACTGACCAGGATTGTCATATTTGTATTATTTGATTGATTTGATGATTAATTGTTGTGAGCGTGCTTGGGGATCTCGCTTGGGGGTGCAGAACTTTTTTGTGAAAGAGGTGCAGGATGTTGTGGCTGTCGGACAAGAGGTCGCTGTGCGGATTATAGATGTCGACCTAGACAAGGGGAGAATCAGCCTCAGTATGAAGGACCCTAATCAGGTGGATCAGAGAAGGGACGGAAGCCAAGCTGAAAACTCGGTTCCACGAAGCGATGAGGCCGATGGCGCTATGCCGCAAGCGAGAAAGATTGCGGGAAGGGGCCGCAAGTCTCCTACGGCCAACAAGGACAAAGCGACACATAACTTCAAGAAGGGACAGGTTGGCTCCACTCTATATTATTTTGTACACCTTTCCTTTTTTTTATGGGGGGGGGGGGGGGGGGGGGGGGGGGGGGGGGTTCCACATGAAAGCAGGTGATGAGAGTGTACTCAGTTCCATACTCTAGCGTACATAACTTTTTCGGAGAGTGGGCCTGGCTCTAGTACAAGACACTCGACATGCATTTGGATGCTTTCCTTTTATAGCTTAAGTCTGTATGTATTGCTTCACTAAAGTGGTGTGAACTATGATTCATAATTCATTTGTAAATTGGTAGGCACTTAAAGAAAGATCTTCCAGCAGTTTTGGCCTGAGTATTGTAGTTTGGTGTGTGCACTGTCCTTGACAGACTGTGAAGGGTGTTGTTAAGAACATTCTCGCCTATGGTGCATTTGTGGAGCTTGCGGAAGGCTTAGAGG